TGGTGCTGGGGATCGAACCGCGGTCCCTGTGCTTTGCCAAGCTTGTTTCAAGTAGGTGCTTTAGACCACTGAGCCATCTCTCCAGCCCCGAGATGTTCTTTTACTGGAAGTGATACTATGGTTTGCTTCCAGGCTAGGGAAAAATCTTAGCATAGACTTTGACTTCTGAATGAGTCATAGGGGCCGGGGAGATGGCTCAGTGGAATAAGCGCTTCCATGGCAAGCGCAGGGCCTGAGTTCAATCCCAGTTCCACCAAAAAAAAAAAAAAAAAAGAATGAGTCAGACTTGGTTTTGAATGTTCACACTGATGTTTAATAATTTTGACCTCAAGCAAGATAACTGATCTTCGTTTTGAATCTCTTTATGCATTTAATTGGAACAGTATTCCTGTTAGTAGTTATGGGCATCAGTGAACTAAAATAAAAAATAATAATCTTCTTAGGAACAGCAGTTCAGTGGTAGAGCACTTGCCTAGCTTGTGCAAAGCCCTGGATTCCATCTTCAGCACCAAAAAGTCAGAGGGATGGGAGTTGCAAAATAGTTCTGGTTGGTGAAGCTTTTCTGAGATGGCTTTTTTGGATCTATGTGCTCTGAGAACCTGTCGGATTAACTCATGTGCTGTGGTTTGCTTCTCTTTTGGACTCCATCAGTCATAACATGAGCCCTCAGCAACCTGAGCCTCCTCTGTTACTGATCTTTTTGCTCTTTGTCCAGGGTGAGGACCCTTTCACCAATGAAACAGTTGATCCGGAAGTAGAAGGAGATGATAATTTAGGTGAGGAAAAGGAAGAGACACCTGAGGAGGTGGCTGCAGCGGTCTTAACAGAAGTGATTACAGCAGCTGTGAGGGCTGTAGATGGGGAAGGAGCTACTGCTGGAGAGAGCAGTGAAGAGCTGGCCCAAGGGGAAGGCCCGGTGGACATGGAAGGGGCCAGCAGTGACCTGTGCACTGAACAGCTGCTGAAAGAGCCAGTCTCCTGTGGAACAGCATCTGAGGAGAACCCTGAAGCCAAGGCTGGAAGTGAGGCTGCTAAGGCCAAAAGTGAGGCAATAACACTGGCAACGGGGGCAGAGAGCACCACAGTTGAAACTGCTCCTGTTCCAGATGCCATGGAAGCTGAAGTGGGACAAACTAATGCAGAGTCCAAAGATGATAAGCCCATGGAGTGATCCTTCCCTGTTTCAAGGGATGTGTTAGATAATGCATTGCTCGCTCTTTGGTTTGTAAGCAGTACTAGGGTGTGTTAATGGAATATGCTGTAAGCTAATTCTGGTGAAGAGACTCAGCCATCTCCCTTAGGATCTTCTCTTGCACAGTTGCATAGCTTCCCACCTTGGCTTGGAGGTTGCAGAGGTTGTACATTCCCCTCAAGCAGCAGTGATGTCTTTAGACAGCAGATGGGAGTAATAAAATTTGGCTAATTAGCTCTTGATATTTGGCTTGGATGCTGCCTTTGTTTTTTCCCTTTAATTTTTTTGTACTGGTTGAGAGCAGTTTCAACATTAGGAATGTATCTTGCTTGAGGTTTTTTTTTGGTGGGGGGTTGGCACTTACTTGGGCCTCTGTTTTTTTTTTACCCCTTTAATACTGGGGATTGGACCCAGGGCCTTCACACTGATTTACATTCCCAGGTCTTCTGTATTTTAAGAAAGGGTCTGGTTAAGTTGTCCAGGCTAGGCCTATGTTTCAGGCTTTGGCTTTTTTTGGTTTTTGGCCTCTGCATTTGTAATGTGCACACTGCTGTGTGTGAGCCTCACCAGGCACGGTGGGCAGGGTTTTGCTGCTGTAGGATGTTGGCTGTGAAGCAGCAGCGAACTGTAGGGCCTGATGCACCGTACACCACTAATGGCGCCTGCTTGACCCAATCTTCATTCCTTGATGAATCTTATTTTGGCTTTTTTTCTTGTTGTTCTGGGAATTGAACCCAGAGAACACTGAGCTACGTCAGTCTTTCCACCCCTGCTACTGAGGGTTGAGCCCAGGGACTTCTGCTGAGCTATATCTCCAGCTCTCATTTTATATTTTGAGGTAAGAGTTGCACTAAGTTGCTAAATTGCCAGGCTGGGCTTGTGTGTTGGATCCTTCTGCCTTGCCCTCTGGAGTAGCTGGAATTAAAAGCATGTGCGGTTGTAACCAGCACTTGTAGGTTTAACTCACTTGTGTTCCACCTCTACATTACTTGAGGGTTTTTTTTGTTTTTGTTTTTGTTTTTCTTCTTAATGTTGCTTAAAAACAAAAACCATATGTCACTCCCATGGATGAAAAAACTAAATTTGCAGACCTAGAAACCATCTGTAATTAAACTTGTTTTAGATACTTACAGAAAAGGAGGCTGGCGTATTTTGAAGGTGGCACACCCCAGTTACACCTTCATACAATCAGAAGAACTGGACGATCTTCCCTTTGAAATGAGACTGCTGGGTCTGTTTTCCTTATAAACCTCTTTTCACGTATTGGGAAACATTAACCAGTGGAAATGACTAGGAAAGGTGCAGTGGAATATTTGAGCATCCACTGTACCAGGTGCTAGTTTGTCATAAATACCCTAAGGTAAGGGCAGTGTTGTCAGGGAACCTTGGAAGTGCAAGGTGAATGTGTACAGAAAAGTTAATGTTAGAGCTAAACACTGAAATAAATGGCTTGAGAAGCAATAAAATGTTGCCACGAATCATTTCTGCTCGTCTTTCCTTACCTTAGCCTGTGTGGGGACACATACCTAGAAGCTAACACCTGGGACGCTGAAGCAGGAGGATCATGAATTCAAGGCCAGCCTGAAAACTACATGTAGTGAGACATCTCAAACAAAAAATGGGGTCCATTCACAGGTTCCACTTGCCCTTTGAAGCTTTATTGTTTTGTGTTGGGGACTGAACCCAGGACCTGGGTGTGTGATTCCAAATTGAGTGACTTAGACTGCCTTAAAAAGGGCTGGGAAGGCCGGTGAGATAGCTCAGCAGACACATGTAATCCCAGCGCTGGGAATGCTGAAAACAGGAGGATCACTGCGAGTGTGAACTGTGTGGTGAGACCCTGTACCAAATACGTAAAAAAAGGGGGGACTGAGGATGTAGCTCAGTGCAAAGGCCCAGGGTTCAAACACCACTGCCTTTTGAGAAGAAAAAATACTGCTCCAGTTTTTTCTTCTTCCAATATCTGGTAATATGAATAGCTGGTTGTAAGATAATACCATGTATTACAACAAATACTGTGAAATTCATATTTGTTAAGTAAAATTCTGTATGAGTTGTCAAAAAAATTTTTTTTAAATTTCATTATGAAATACTAAAAAAAAGAAAAAATATTCCTGGGCCTGTCATTTAGTTGATTTAAATTTCAATGAGTTTTTTGTTTGTTTGTTTGTTTGTTTGTTTTCTTACCCTCCCCTCCCTGTGAAACTACACAAATTATTTTTTATTCTTTTTTTTTTTTTTTTTGGAACCGGGGGTTGAACTCAAACCCTTGCACTTGACAGGGAAGCGCTTATTCTACTGAGCCATCTCCCCAGCCCCTATTTTTTATTCTTATACTTGGAGTTA